CCCTCGTCCCGTCGGAGATGTTCCCCGCACATCGGGGCCCCCCCACAGCTACCCTTCGCCATGCGGAGGCAAGTGGGGAGGCTGCATTTGCGGCCGATCAGGGTAGACCGGTACTTCTGCGCATGGTGGGCGCAGAGGTGCACCTGTGCATTGAGGCAATGCCCCGGCCGGGGGACGTCCGACACCTCTGCGTCCTCCTGTAGCAGAACAGTAGCCTCCTGCATCCCTCGGTCGCCGCACCCCTCCGGCTGGAGGGGGCGTGCGCCACCTGCGAGCTGCGCCCCAACTTGTGCGGCTTGGCAGGGGCGCTCCTCCGCCTCCACCTCGCTCTCCGAATCGATGTCCAGGCGGCGATAGCCCGCGGCGTCGGTGATGTAGCGGGGCTCCGGCCGGCCTCGGCACAGCCATCCAAGTACCGACCAGGGTGAGCAAAGCAGCCACTTGACGACCCCGAACACCTTCCGGAGTCCCACGCCGACTGCCCGGCAGGCTGTGGCCTTTCCGTGCTCAGCCAAGTCCACGATCTGTGCGTGGTCAATGGCCGCGTACTGGTCGACATGCATGGGACGCGCCACTGGACAGGAGGCGCACTCGACGGCACGGCATAGATGCACGTTCCCTGTCTCCTCGAGGTTCAGCCGCCACTTGCGACTGGTGCACCCCAGAACCTGCCCGATCTTGATGTTGAGCCCGTGGCGGTCCAGTCGGTACCGGTCCGCGAAGTTGCAGCTGATGCGGGCCACCTGCCCGTGCTTGCGCAGAAGCACGTGGTTGTACGCCCGATTGGTTCCCCGGCCGCGGACCCCCTTCGCGTAGAACTCCGTTTCCACCACGCCGCCCAAGCCCGGCCCGCGCCAGCGCACCAGCAAGGGAGTCGGAGGGGGTGGGGGGGTTGGGCGCCGGGCCCATCGCCTCCGCGTCGCAGGCAGCACCGGGTAATCTGGTACCACGCCCAGCGGAGTCCCCCGGCTGCCCACAGCATAGGCTGGGCTGCGGTGTTGACGATGAAGGCCAGGGCACCCAACGCGAACGTGAAGATGCCTAGGGCGAAGCAAAGGACCGCGGTCTCCCACCAGTACCCAAGCATCTTAACGCCCAGGCGGTCGATGGCGGATCCAATCCATCCGCCGCTCGTGCGGATCGTGCCCGTGTGGTCGGGGGAGCTCACCCACGCTCCGTAGCCCACGAACTCGAAGACCCAGGCTGCGAAACCCCAACCGGGACCTGGCCCCGCCTCCGGGGGCGGGGTAGGTGGCGGCGGCGGCGGCGGGGGCACGTTCCGGCCAGCCCACCAATGGGGCAGGTGCGGGACCCAACCACTCCACCCCCAATACCCGTCCAGCCCGCGCGGCGGGTCAGGCTCGCCATCGCCCGTCCGGTTTCCCGGGGCGGACGGCTGCCCAGGCGCGCCCGTGGGCTCGTTGTTCCCTCCGTATGCCGGCGTAGCTGGGCTGCCCGTGGGCTCGCCCTCGCCTACGCGCCCGATGCCCGCGGGTGTGGTCGTTGTAGTCGACCCTGACCGCGGCGGCGCGGGGACGCCCGGCGTCCCCGGGGGCTTGGCCTGCGGCCCTCGCCCCTTTCCCCCTGCAGGCGCGGGCTTGGCGGGCGGTCCTCGCCCCTTGCCTTGCCCCCCACCGCCTGGCGGCAGCGCTGTCGGCCCGGGCAGGGCTGACGGCGTCGGCGCTGGGACCTCATTTCCCCCGCGCCCGAACGGCAGCCAGCCAAGTGCCCCTTGGACCGTGAAAGCACCGCCCGTAACCAAGATCATCAGGTGCGCTCCCAGGAAGCCCACAGCCATGGCACCACAAACGCGCTACCTAGTCCGCGGACTACCACGGCTGTGGTTGTGGCCGCCCCGCGGCCCCCCGGAACACCCGCGCGTCGGCCAGAGCCGAACGCTACGGACCCAAAATGGCTACCTGAGCCCACACCCCCTCCCACTTAACCTGCAGTCTACAACCAATCAGACTATACAAAAATTCGGTACCATCCCTCACGCAGATCCGCGGGGTCAAGGTCCAAAAACACAGGGGATTTGCCACATTTCTGAAATTCGGTGCCACCCCTCACGCAGATCCGCGGGGTCAGGGTCAAAAAAACATTGGATTTCTGTTATTTCCGAACTTATGCAACTTCAAGAATCCAAAACTCCGTTCCCAGCGCCGTTCGGGAGGCCGCGGTACCTCGTTATTTATCGAGCGAACGCGTTTACCTCGTTTTTTATAGTTTAAAGTCGATGTCGGAAAAAGTGGACTTCACCTGTGAAATATCGAGGTTTCCTTAAAGGCAGTAAAATGCCAAGGGCACGATCTGCGTGAGGGGTGGCGAAAAATGGCCTTCGTCCTCACAATTTTAATTCGCCGGCCCCCTTCGACCTATCGCACAAGAAATTCGCCAGCCCCCTTCAAATAAAAACCGGGGGTAAACCAACTAAAAGAGAACCCTGGGCCCATGCCCTTTCCGGGAAAAACACAAGGGATTTCTGCCATGTCCGAACTTATGCAACTTCAAGAATCCAAAACTCCGTTCCCAGCGCCGTTCCGGAGGCCGCGGTACCTCGTTATTTATCGAGCGAACGCGTTTACCTCGTTTTTTTTTCCTCGCAAAGCAAGCGCACACGAGTTTCAGTCCCTGCTCCGACGATTCACTACGCTCTGTTGTATTGAATCCGCTTCCCCTCATGGGGGCTATACCACCTCCCATTGAAGCGCGCACGGACACGGGCCCGTACAGGTCTGAGTCTCAATCGCAAGAGGCCCGTGAAAAAGCCCTGCGACCTTGAAAGGGTGACCTCGGAGCGAAGTCCGGCGGCCGCTGTGGATTACCCTACAGCTTCCACGCCGAGATACAAATAGCGTTTAACTCGTTTTATAGTTTAAAGTCGATGTCGGAAAAAAGCGGACTTCACCTATGAAATATCCAGGTTTCCTTAAAGGCAGTAAAATTCCAAGAGCACGATCTGCGTGAGGGGTGGCGAAAAATGGCCTTCGTCCTCACAATTTTAATTCGCTGGCCCCCTTCGACCTCGTAATTTATCGCGCAAGATATTCGCCGGCCCCCTTCAAGTAAAAACCGGGGGGTAAACCTACTAAAAGAGAACCCTGGGCCCAGGCCCTTTCCGGGAAAAACACGGTGCCAGCTCGGAACAACCATGTCAGATACCCCCTGGGTGGCCTGGACACATAAAAACACGTGGTTCCAGCTCGGGACAATCATGTTAGAGATCTCTCTGGGTGGTCTGAGCATGAAAAAACACATGGTTCCAGCTCGGGACAGCCATGCTAGATACCCCCCTGCGTGACCTGGATACGCTGAATTCGCGCTCCCGCTCGAGACATCCTCGCAACGTCTTCCCTGGAGAGGCCCCCAAAGCGCAACCCCCTGTTCAGAGCAAGAAACCTTAACTTTTATGGATTGGGATGTGTTCGGGTAGCGCTTTTCGGCCCCCCGTGCGTTTCCTCATAATTCGGCGTTGGGCCCGACGCCATGTTAGATATCCTAACTCTGCCAAACCAGCGTTTCGCTCGAGACATCCTCAACAAACTCTGAAACACAAGCGTTTCGCTCGAGACATCCCCCAACTCTGCAAAATCAGCGTTTCGCTGGAGACATCCCCAACAAAATCTGAAAAACAAGCGTTTCGCTGGAGACATCCTCAAACATAATTCCGCCGGCCCTCTTCCCGCACGTAATTTATCGCAGAATAATTCCGCCAGCCCTCTTCCCGTCGATTCCGGGGGCAAACTTCTAAAAGAGAACCCTGGGCCCACGCCCTTTCCGGGAAAAGCAAACTGACAGGTCAAGCTTTCCCCCTGCAAGATAATGCCCGAGGATCCCAACATGCCCAACATACCCGAAAGGCCTTCAAAAAACCAAAAGAGGCCCTGTGAGGCCCCCCAAAACCAGAAAATAGACCTGGAAGTAACCCCAAGAGGCCGTGAGGCCCCAAGAGGTCCACAAGAGGGCCCAACAAATTCCGAGAGATGCATCCACTAGGCCCCCGACGGGTCTCCCAGCATACCCTTGTATTTATCGGACCCTATCTGGGTCGTCCTCCCCCCACAGCAAGCCTTGTCCGCCCCAAGATCATCACGTGTAAATTCAAGAAATTCAAACATTGGGTGCCAACCCGCCTGCGCCGCTAACGACGTCCAACTCAACCTTCTGGACAGCAATCTATTCGGACGTCTCGACTGCACATATCCAGACGACGTGATGATACCCTCCAACTTGCTCTCCTTGTGCCCAAAACACCATGAGAGTGACCCGTACAAAGTACAGATGCGCGCACGAGCGATCCAGTCGGCAGCCCAAGAGCAACCCTGTCGACGCATACCTGTTTGCACGATCTACAAAGCAACACTCATGAATTGCCCTCGCGACTGTGAAAGTCATGAGTGCTTCCGCCCTTCAGCTTCCTGACGTTTTAGCACGGCCCAAGAAGCCTCAAAGATCGCCTCCCAGACGAATCGAAACGAGCTTCGCCACCTCATACTGGAAGTATGTGGGGTTGAAGGGTACGACGGCGACAATGGCGATGGGACCGTCGAGACGCCGCTCTACTGCCTGTCGCCGCAATTCATGCGGCGCGCAGGCGACGCAGGCAGATTCCAGCGCCCTCTCCAGCGCGGTCCCCGCGTCACGGACGGGGGAAGGGAGAGGTCAGTGCCGATCCGAGAAATCCGCGGCGCGGGCCTCCAAGAGCTTACGCGTGTGCCGAATATCATACTGATTCGCGTTGTATTGATGCCCTTTTGTCAGTGGTAGCGTCATGATTCGACTGGGACGCGCAAGGGCGTACTGGTACTTTGTATCCCCCTCTGGCGGCGTGCGTTCGACCCGAACACAGAGCACATACATCCTTAGCGTTTCTCGGCGCGCGCGTCGGCCCTCCAGGGGCCACTCACACATAGTAATAAAATGCTCGGGTGACGCTGATAGAATGCTTGTCCTCTCCTGCTTCTTCTTCTTCTTCTTCTTCTTCTTCTCCGACCCAGCGC